CTGTCTCCTTGCATCCATGAATAGCCCGCACGAGGGTGGCGGCACAATTCCTGCCACGATGGCCACGTTGTACAACTTCCGCATGCTGCCCAGTGTGCGTAACTTCCGCGGCCAGTCCTCAGGCTTCCCAGTCGACGCCGTGTCGGTCCAGGTCTCCTCTGTGGAGGAGTTTTACAGCATCGTCCACGCCACCGCGCTGCCCCACCTGAAGCGAGAGGTGATCTTTCTGCCTTCGCCATCCCAAGACACATCGCGGCAGCCAGTTTGGTCACAGACAGCGTCACCATCAGCAGCCGATGTCGAGCGCTTCGTTCTGTTGTACCCTCCAAGCAAGAAGACCGTGGAATTGTCGACAGTCACAACCCATTCACTCCAGCGCTGGATGGGACGCGACGTCCTCTTGTACATCCATTGTTATTCCAACAACGTTGCATCCAAGCGGGATTGGACACTTGTAAACAAGACTCTGATCGAACCAGCGGAACAAGACCGAGCAGGTGCCGCGTCGATGGCAAGTCTACTGGCGCTGAAGTCAAGGCTTCGAGAGATTCATGGTGCTGCGTACCGTTCACAAGACATCAATTGGCAGCTGTGGGCGAATCAAATTCAAAGTGCTCCAGCGCACAGACATGATGCCATGGTTTCCGAGCCACCACCGTCCAACTTGATACACCTATTTGCACATGCACCGACCCAGCCAGAAGTTGTGCTGCGCAATGCTCGACAGGGTCTTTGCGTCGCAGGAGGATTAAACCGAAACTTTGCCAGCACTGTCGAAGACATGGTGGCCTCCATTCGCACATTGAAACGAAAGCACGAGGAGTTGCAAACTCATTTGCTTTTTCTAGATGGTCAAATTACTGCTGCACAACGAATGCTGGCTTCCAACACAACTCTTTTAGGAGGATTTGAAAATGCCCTTGGAATTGAAGAGTCGCAATTTGGAACTGCATTATTACAGGACATGGAAGAGCAAGAAGATGTTGACCACAACTAAAATCGTCGTAATTGATTGAAAGACTTAGAATCCCATGATTTGAACATCTTGTTGCATTGCAATTCCAGCGTTGAAAATCCCATGGCCAGTGTATCCACACTTTCGAAATACCGAACGAAAGTCAAAGACAGAATACAGATTGAGCACCTCTGCAATCAGTATTTCAATCTTTTGTCCGCCATTTTCCACGTAAGACCGCTTGAACTTCTTCTTCACAAGTCCGAAGAGTATTTCGATAGGATTAAAGAATGGACAGTACGCAGGTAGAAAGAGCGGCACAATTCCTAACAGTTTCAATTCAATGAATAAGTTTCAATGCACATCTCGGAAAATTGTACCCAACGATCGTAGGTAGTACACAATTCGATCACTGCAGTGAATCTTCGCGCCGTCCATAATCCACACGGAGTTCGGCCCAGGGTACTGAAAGCAAATTCCACTACTGGCAAACGCTCGAACGCACTCAACAAAACTTGACCGATCAATCGTGCCAACAACGGAGAACGTATCAAGCAAGCCGCCCACCCCCATGAAGCACAGAAGTGAAACACGCGGCTTGCGGCAAAACTCGCCCCTGTAAACAAGCTTCTGACCCTTCATGCAGTACCCACCACGGCGCAGCATATCCCGATTGTCGAAACAAACTTCGTCAAGGAACACGAGGTTGTGCAACAGCCATGGAATCAATGACAAATCATTGCAATAACGCAGGATGTCCATTGAGCATATTTGGATTGCTCGTCGCTCCAAAACTTTCCACGATAAACCAGCTTCGCGCAATATGGCCCAGATCGACGA